GTGGTCCAAAACTCCCGGCTCCGTCGATGTTCTCGTACCACGCAATCTTGTTGTCAGAGGATGACGCCGACGCCAGGTCCAGATCGCCATCTCCATCCACGTCAGCCGCAACTACACACCGCGCATAGCTTGCGGTAGTGCTCACCACTTGCTGCGGCCCGAAACTCCCGGCTCCGTCGATGTTCTCGTACCACGCAATCTTGTTGTCAGAAGCCGACGCCGACGCCAGGTCCAGATCGCCATCTCCATCCACGTCAGTCGCAATCACGGACTGCACCCCATGCGCTGCAGTGCTCACCACTTGCTGTGGCCCAAAGCTGCCGACCCCATCGATGTTCTCGTACCACGCAATCTTGTTGTCAGATACCGACGCCGACGCCAGGTCCAGATCGCCATCTCCATCCACGTCAGCCGCAACTACACACCGCGCATAGCTTGCGGTAGTGCTCACCACCTGCTGCGACCCGAAACTCCCGGCCCCATCGGTGTTTTCATACCATGCAATCTCCCGATCAGAGAATAACGCCGACGCCAGGTCCAGGTCACTGTCTCTATCCATGTCAGCGGCAATCACAGACGACGCACCTTTCGCTGCACTGCTCACCACTTGCGGCGGTCCAAAGGTCCCCGCGCCGTCGGTGTTCTCGTACCACGCAATCTTGTTGTCGTAGTACGACGCCGACGCCAGGTCCAGATCCCCATCTCCATCAATGTCAGCCGCAACTACACACTGCGCATAGCTTGCGGTAGTGCTCACCACCTTCGGCGGCCCGAAACGCCCGGCTCCATCGATGTTCTCGTACCACGCAATCTTGTTGTCAGATACCGACGCCGACGCCAGGTCCAGATCGCCATCTCCATCCATGTCAGCCGCAATCACCGACTGCGCACCGCTCGCTGCAATGCTCACCACCTGTTGCGGCCCAAAGCTGCCGACCCCATCGGTGTTCTCGTACCATGCAATCTTGTTGTCAGAGGATGACGCCGACACCAGGTCCATATCGCCATCTCCATCCACGTCTGCCGCAACTACAGACCGCGCACTGTTCGCTGTCGTACTCACCACCTGCTGCGGCCCAAAGGTCCCGACCCCATCGATGTTCTCGTACCATGCAATCTTGTTGTCAGTGGCCGAAGCCGACGCCAGGTCTAGATCCCCATCTCCATCCATGTCAGCAGCAATCACGGACTGCGCCCTGCCCGCTGCAGTACTCACCACTTGCTGCGGCCCGAAACTCCCGGCTCCGTTGATGTTCTCGTACCACGCAATCTTGTTGTCATTGGCCGATGCCGACGCCAGGTCCAGGTCACTATCTCCGTCAATATCAGCCGCAATTACAGACTGCACACCAAGCGCTGCCGTGCTCACAACTTGCTGCCCCTCGAACCCTCCCACGATATGATTGTAGCGATACCAGCCAATCTTATGCGCATTATGAGCTGCATACACTAGGTCGAGCCAGCCATCACCATCCACGTCAGCCGCCACCACATCGATCGGTCCATCATCGAGTGAAGTCACCACATGAGTGACTGCATCCATCTCTGCCACACACTGCGGGATGTCTGGCACCATTCTCGCCCGCACCGAGGCCGCCAAGAGGAACACCAAAAAAACCGTTCCAAGCACTGCGGTACGCGCCGCAGCACCACGTCCCACTTCTTCCCTCCAGGCGGGGAGTGGTCGTCCACGAGAGTGCAGACCCCCTGTGCGCCACATGCAAGCATGCCACACATGAATTGTCAACTCCATGGTAGCTATGGAAGAGGGGTGTCCGTAATATGCTGCTTCCCCGACCCCCGGCTCCTTCACCCGCTCCCGGCAGTTGTCCGGGGTCAACCCAAGTCACGTCACACAATTCTGGAACGCGAACGCGACCCGCCGACAACCTCAGATGAGCCACGGGTCGACAGGCAAGGAGCCGAGACTTCTACATGTGATACACATTGCTGACTACGTACGCAGGCGCGTGTACGGTTCGTGCTGCATCTACATCGCGAATCAGGGAGCACTCCCTTCTTCTTGCGGCATTGGTCCTACTGGCGAGCGCGCCGGCGGGCAACAAGCGCCTTGCACCTGGCCGCACGCCTGCTCGCCACACTTTGGGTGCCTCAGTTGTTTCGCAAGTGCAGGCCTTTTCAGGCAGTGACCTGCTGTGAGTACACAGTGTACTCGCGCGGCAGCCACAGGCTGCAAAAACACCTTTCACTCCATGGCTACTTGCGGCACTGGTCCTGCTGGCGAGCGCGCCGGCGGGCGGCAAGCGCCTTGCGCTGAGCCGCACGCCTCTTCGCCGCGCTCTGGGCGCGGAGACGGTTGCGGTTGGCTCTCAGCTTCTTCGCACGCTCGATCTGGCGACGACGCCGGGCATCCGTGAGCTTCTTGTTCGCCTCGATCTTCTTCAGGAGGGCGCTCTTACGAGCCGCACTGTCAGCCTTTGTCACCGTGCAGTAGCAGTACGTGACAGGCGTCGTGTCGCCCCAATGGAGCGGGTTGTACAGGAACTGGCCCTTGTTGTCGCGGATCGCCATGCGGTACCCGGTGAACGTCCGCCACACCGTCATGCGGTGGCCGCTCGGGCACTCGGCCGTCGACGACGACAGCGCCTGGGCGAGAGCCGCCGACGCCCGGTTCGCGATGGCGCGTGCGTAGCTGGCCCGCTGGGAATAGCCGCGCCGCTCGTAGATTGTGGCGTAGCGGGCAACTGATGACTTGATGAGGAGATGCAGGTTGTTGTTGAGGTCGTTCTGCGGGCGGTTGTTCTGATCAACGGCACCGTTGACCGGGCACACAACAAGGGTGCGGGGCCGGACCCGCATCGGCTTGACTGACGCGTACGTCGTCTTTGCTGCGTTCGGCGAGTACACCGTCACTCCACGCGGCCGCAGCACGCCGCTGCCCTGCATCAGGCCGCGCACGTAGCAGACTCGGCGAGTGCAGCGCCCCGTCAGATAGCGCTGCAGTCCAGTCGAGATCGTCACTCGCGCACCAATTGCGCGCTCGGTGGCAGCCTCGTGCTCGCGCCCAGGCTCCACCATCTCGCCGTATCGGTTCATGACCCACCGCGAAGCGGCCTCGTCAAGCTCGCCCGCGCTCGGCGGGTCGACTGCCGTCCCGTTGACGTACGTCGAGTCGTCCTCCATCTCGATGATCGACTCGCCGACCGCGTACGCACAGTTGGCGTGGTCGCAGCAGAGCCGCGCCGCAGCCTCGGCGTCGCCGTCAACCACAAGGTCGGTCACATCGAGCTCGGTCTCCTCCGGGATCGAGTCAAACGTGTTGTTGTCAAATGACGATATGCCCGTGATCCGGAATCGCATGATCTGCGTCGAGGCCTGGCCCGGAAGCGAGAGCGAGAATGGTGCGGTCGGGTTGGTTCGGATGTTTTCCACAGAGTCTGGGCGCGGGAAGACCAGCGCCGTGTCAAAGGTAAAGTCATCGGTCACCTCGGTCTCCGCGCTCTCGCAAAGCACGCTCAGATCCGCCGTGTCGACCTCGGACGTCCGGCCTTCGACCTCACGCGCACGCGCCCGCAGTGCCCGCGACGCATCGTCGTCCTCCGGCGGGTCGTCGACCGTGCCCACTGAGATCCCGGGCGTCACGCTTGCCGTCCGCACCGTCGACGCATACTCGGACCCGCCCGAACTTGGTCCGCATCACCGCCGGAGCGCTGGACGACGACTCGATGTTGGTGTCCTTGGCCAGCTCCGCGCAGCTACCGAGAGCGCGAAAATCGCTCCAAGAGTGAGCGCAAACAGCACGGCGCCCACGATGAGGATCCGCACCAGCCGCTTGTTCGACTTGCGCGCATGGTGCATCTCCTGGAACGCCATCAACAGCTCGTTGATGTCGACATCGCCGTCACCGTCGCGATCGACCTCGTCCAGAATCTTGAGCAGCTCGGGCGAGAGGTTGTCCCTGTCGAGGACCAGTCCGTCGGGCTTTTCGACCGACATCGCTGACACCGCCGACGACGTAGCAGACGACGCAGCGTATGAGTACGACCCTGTCTCGGCCATAATCTGCATGACGTTAGCGCGGGTGGGGTGTGCGTAAGGTGAGATATTGCCTTGCCGCAGCCATAGGTCATCTGCAGTTGCAAAAGCTCTTCTTCCAAAGGGTTGGCGCTACCGGTGGGGCCGTGGAAGCGCAAGGAAGGGAAAGAGTGTCCTACACACTCCGAGGTACACAGGCGTGTGTATGCACAAGGAGGATTGGCTGATGAGGGTACAAGTTGTGACGTACATTCATGCCGATGTGGAGTCAAGTGTACGGTGTTCAGCTGTGACATTGAGCAACGTTTGTTGGCCTTGCTGCCATTCGTGTGGGTTTGTACTTTGGAATTGGAGACAAAGTCGGTGGCCGGTTTGGCTGAGGAGCTGTGGAACATGCACCATATCTAGCGAGGCATACATGCCATTGTGCTGCGTACGACATACTTGCAACAAACGTGTTATTGCAGCGCAGCCAGTACCATCCCAGAGCTCTGTGGATGTTCTCTGTACAGCGACCGGGCTGTGCGGGCCAACAGCGGCCCACAGTGAAAGAAAAATTGTGCTGATTGATCCACAACTTGCCGTTTGTGGAAAAACGTTTGGACTCGCATATTGCGAGAAGGAGAGCAAGCGGTCACTAGCCGAACCGCAAGAGCGAGCCGCAGAACATGTGAGATCCAACCAGTTTACAGGCGTTAGTGTAGTTCTGTCTGAACTGTACCCGAGTCGTGGTTTACACGCACCATGTCGCCCGAAAAAAACTGGCGAGCTGGAAGCGGCACAAATGCCCGCCCGCCTTACCCGGTGAGCGGCGACTCCGGCTGGGCGACGGCCGCGGTCGGCGCCGGCCACCGTGCAAACGAGCGACAAACACCCCACCTTCCACCCGTCACACCCCATGTCGCACGCCGACGTACATGAGCTTCTGACCGAGACCAACACTCGGTTTGCCACGCTTGCTTCTGCAGTGGCGCGCGACCCGCCCACGCCGGTCCAGCCGGGCTTCTATGCAGAGACAGCCGAGGACTTTCTCCTCGCGGCCAAGGCTATGGAGACCGCCTTCCGAGCCATTGCCCGCGAGTATGGCGCCCATGCTGCAGCTCCAACCGAGGATCCTGCCCAGGCTGCTCAGCAGAAGGCCCACGGACTCAGCGATCACCTTGCCGATGCGCTGCATGCTGTCGAAGGCTGGGACAGGGTTCTTGCCGACATCGAGAGCGATCTCGTTGCCGTCTTTGCCCAGGATGCCGCCATGCCTGATCTGTGACACTCTTGCCGTGGCCCTGCCCTGGTCGCCGTCCCATGCTGTGCCTCCCACGCCCTACCGAGTCACGTTTATTCCCACGAGTCAGAGTCGAGGGAGGTGAACACGCCGGTGCTGTCACCCTCGCTCGACATGTCGTCGTCCGACGCTCCCAATGTCGACGACGAGTGCCACTCGGAACTCTCGTCCGAGACAAAAGTGCTTCCGGCGTCGAGGGCGAGCCCGATGCGGACGACCTCGTCGCTGGCGAGCACGACCTCGCACGGCTGCCGGACAGACATGTCGCTGGCAAACATGCCGCGCCCGCGGACCTCCTTGATCGTGAACGCGTTGTTTGCAAGCCGGAGCCGCTGCAGCCGCGGCGCAGACTCGAGCGCGCGTGCAAGCGCCCCGGCGCCCAACACACCCACCTGCGCGCGCTCGAGCTCTAGGACACAGAGCGCACCGGCGTTGTGCAGCTCGCTGGCGATGACCACTGCTCCGGCGTCGTCGACTTTGTTGCGGCTGAGCGAGAGGCGTGCCATCGCCGAGTGGCCCGCTCCGATCGCCTCCATCAGCGCCCGCACGCCCTCGGCGCCCGAAATCCGGTTTCCGCACAGCGAGAGCCGTGTCACCAGCGAGTTGTGCCGGAGGCCGCTGGCAAGCGCCACCAGGCCCTTGTTCTGCATCCCGGTCTTGGCCATCCGCAGCATCCGCACTGGCAGAGCGTTGTTTTCCAGCGCCCGCCCCACAACTCCGGCGCCGGTGTTGCCCAGCGGGTTGCCTGACAAGTCCAGATGTGTTAGGCTCGCGTTGCCGGCCCGGACCAGCGGCTCCAGCAGGAGCTTGGTGCCAGACGACCCGACCTTGGCCCGCGACACATCCAAGAACTCGATCACGTTGTGCTTCTCCAGAGCCCGCCCGAGCTGGCTCGCACCCTTGGCGGCCAACACGTTGCCGCCGAGCACCAGCGTCGTGATCCGTGGGCACCCGCGCTCGATGGCGTCAGCCAGCTTGGTCACGCACTTGCGCCCGAGCCCGACCCCCAGCATGTCCACCCGTTCCAGCAGCGGCGAGTTGACCAGCAACGCCGCCATGGCATCCGAGCCCTGGGAGCAGAGCGTAGAGTTGCGGATACAGAGCTGCGTCACGCTGCCGGCACGAGCCGCCTCGCCGGCCAGCGCTTTCAACGCCGCCTTGTAAATCGGCCCGCACCCACAAGCTCCACCTCCGCCACAGAGTGCATTCGCAGCTCGACTGCTGCCCGGAACACAATCGGATGCCAAGCATGGTCTCCCACAACCACCGCCGACAGCCCGTGGTACGTGAACCGGCACGCGTTGATGTCCATTGGGTACGACGGCAGGTGCAGCGTGTGGAGGCTCGGACATCCGCGCAGGTCGAGCGAGACAAGACTGCCCGATCGCTCCAGCCCCGCCAGCGACTGCAGACTCTGCACATGTGCCAGCACCGCGTGCTCCAGCGCGCCCATGCTCGCGAGCACAGCCCCGGGCGCCACCGCACCCTGGCTCCACGATACATCCAAAAGCCGCAGCCGTGCGCAACCACGCGCAATCGTCTCCAGCGCTGCGTCATCCAGCCCACGCGCCCGCCGCAGGTACAGCGACTCGAGCCGCGGTGCGAGCAGCGTCACGCACTGCAGCACAGAGCCGAGCTTGCTGGGCTTGACCTCCCGCCATGGCACCCGCCGCACCGCCTGCTCTTGCAGCCGCAGATCGAGCTGCTCGAACACTTCTGGCGAGCCCGAGCACATGCCCTCGATCGCGAGTGCAACCTGCTCCTCCACCTCGTACGCAGAGTACAGAACAGAGAGCCCGTACTCGGGCGTGCAGTGCTTGGCAAAGTATGCGCCAAGATCGGCCTCGCATCCACCCACTGTGCTCACGTACATCTTGGGATGTGCGCTCGCATCAATCCCGCGCCGTCTCAGGAACGCACGTTGGCCCTCGTCGAGAACCATGCCATCCGATGCCAGAACGTGTGTGTAGTGCTTGGCCACGATCTCATAGCGCTGCAGCGCGTCCATCTCGCTCACTTCGGTCACGCTCGCGTACACCTGCCCAAGCTCCGGGAACCGCTTGGCCAGCAGCTGTGCATGAGTCAGCGTTCCCGACGTGTTCTGCCGCAGTTCGCGCTGCAACCACAAGTACCGCTCGTACACCTGCGCCACCACCGCTTCCGAAAGCACAAACGGAACGAGAATACCGTCGCCGCCGTCGTAGAGCGACTGCAGCTGCGGAAGGGTAAACGTCTCACGGTACGCAATGTTCTGGCGGATCATGCCTTCCAGCCATGCAGAGAGCACCTGCTCCGGCCGCCGCCGCATAAAGTCCTCCTGCGCCTCGGCGTCGATCGGCGACTGCAGCTCGTCCATGCAAGAAAACTGACATCATGTACGGGTCCGAGTCGGCCTCGCCAGCATCAGCCGGACTTACCGTGAGTTCGGCGAGTCGTCTCTGTATCCGTGACACCGCGTCGAGCGCGAGCCGCTCCGTCGCGGCCGTGCCGGCTCCACTCCCGTCGCTGCTTCCGCCCTTGCCACCGTTCACGCTGCCGTGCGATTCTGAGCCGCGGAGCGCAAAGCCCGACCGCGACCGCCCACGCCCATGCAGTGGAATCCGCGGGCAAGCACCGAACCACCCACTAAAGTCGGTTCCCACAACCAACTGGGTGTTGCGATCCCGTGTCGAAGCGCACGCCATGTAGTTCTCCGGTTCGACCACCGACGGCTCGAGCAGCAGGTGCATGAAGAGCTGCTCCGTGTACGCCGACTTGCGCCACCCAGCGTTGGTCAGGGGCCCGGCGCACTCGGCGAGCGCCTCCCGCAGCGGCCGCGCTTCGTGTCCAACGCCGACCAACTGCACCACAGAGCTTGTCTCCATCAATCGGCAATTGTACGCTTGCGAGGCGTCGCGACGAAAGGCAAGAAGCTCAAACAGGCCCGCGCCCGACCCGCCGCCAAAAAGTGCAGGAGCATGACGCTGTACTCAAGGCCAGGCTGCCGCGGTCCTACCTTGCACACGATGTGCTGCTGTGGCGTGCTCGTCGAGAGCTGGCCCCCGCTCTTCGCCCGCTCATCCGAGTCGTGCGCGGCTTCGGCTTCCGAGCCTGCCGCGTTTCCGGCGACGTTGGCTTGAAAGACCGGCGTCGCCACGGGGGCAGAGTCCCGCGAGTCGCGGTGACTGTCCATGGCTGCCAGGACCGGCGCCACCACACTGGGTGTAAACAGGCGATGGCCCGAGAGCACGCCGTGTGCAAGCACACCCTTGGCCACCACCTCGGCCTTGGCCTCCGGACTACTCGCGCGCGCAAGCTTGGCCAGTACTTCGGCGTACATGACTTGCAGATTGGCAAGTCCGGCCTCGAGGTAGAGCAAGTGGCGCTGGAGGTGCGAGTCGTCAGGCTCAGTCGACGCCAGCGCCACAAGCGCGGCCTGCCACTGCTGAAGTTGCTCGAGCTCCAGCTCGAGCCGTGACTCGAGGAGTGGCCACACCGAGTCAGACTGGTACGCCACCGTCATGAGGTCCGCGGGCATGTGCTGGCCCGCTGTCGACCAGTCGCGGATGGCCAACAGCGTCGGGTCCTCTGCGTACACCTTGCCGCGGGTCACGCTCGAGTACGCACTTTGCGCCGCGTGCGCGGCGTGCGCGCTTGCAATACGTTCCATGGCTGCGTCAAGCTCATCCTGCGGCGGAAAGGTGTACAGCTCAAAGCCCGAGTCAAACGGAGCACTGCACGGCTTGGTGCACGAATGGCAACAGTGGCGAATGATGCCGGCGTCGAGGAGCGCCTGCGCAAACGAGACGACCTCGGTCTGCTGGCCCGGCATGTGGGTGTCAATCCACAGCGCAGCCTCGGAGCCGACAAACAGTCCGGGTACTTGCGGAGGTGGCGGCGGCGGGACTTGCGCGGCATGGCCGCCACAAACTTGGCCACCAAGCTCGGATCCAGCGTCATACCTTGGGCGGTTGGTGCGTCCGAGAACGCCAGGAACGGCGTGTGACAGATGAGCGCGTATACAGAGCCGCGGATGGTCGACAACTGAGTCATGATGAACGATGGTATCGAGACGTTGGCCAACGACCGCTTGGTGATGCCGGCCACAAGCCGCGAGGTGTCGACAAACGCAATGTGCTGTCGCGTCAGCTGGCCAGACAGCGCCTCGTCGTCAGTCCGGACTGCGCCAAAGCCGAGCGACTCGGCACGCCCAATGTACTCGACGATGGTGCCGGCAAGCGGGATGAGGTAGCCTTGGAAGAGTGAGTGATAGCCGTGGGTCTGGCAGCAGCTGAGTCGGTAGATGCCAGCGCCGCGGGTGCCCGTACCGCGTGGTGACGCCTCGTGGCCACTGTCACTTGCCGCCAGACGGGCGAGGACTCCGGGCACAATCTCGAGGGTAGCGCGCGCCGCAGCAGCACGAGCGGCCTCGCGATCGGCAACACGTGCCGTATTCGCCGACGCGGTGCACTCAGACGGCGGCATGTAGTGAGGCCACGAAGCCATGACGCTGTCGGCCTCGGTGCCAGCGGCGGCCTGGACGGTGGCACGGATGAGACCTGCAAAGGCGAGGACTTTGGACGACGACCGACCGACGCAGGCCGACAGGTGGCCGCGGCTGACAAGTCCGGCAATCCGCTGCGGGAACGTCATGTACGGCTCGGGCGCCGATCGCCGTGGCACACCGTAGAAGAGTGAGAGGCCGAGGAGCCAGAGCGAGGTCATGCGATACATTGACGACTTGACGTTGAGCGTGGCGTCGGGCGAGGTGCCAAAGTGGCGAGGTTGGAAGGAGGCGTTGACGGATTCGCGGATGAGCGTCAGACCGTAGACCTGGCGGACAGTGCCGGTCAGCATCGGGTGTGGCGCGTCTAGAACTTCGGCCAGCGCAGTCTGGAACTGGGCAAAGAGTTGCGGCCCGCGCTTGGGGCATCCACACAAGTAGCCGGCGTCCGGAAGCGTACCGACAAGAATGAGGTCGTCGACAAACTCGGAGCGCGGGCGGAGTTGCGCGGCGAGCTCCGCAGGCGTGCCCAGCAGTGGCGGGTCCTTGGCCAGCGGGGTGTTGCCGCCGTCATCAAAGCAGAACCCGCGCTTCCACCGTGGGTTGAGCGGATCCGGCGATGTCTCGCCAAGAGCCACAATCTTGAGCTCGAGGAGAGCGACAAACGACTCAAAGTAGTCGCGGACTTTGGTGGCGGCGGCAGGCTCGGCTGCAGCCATGCGCTCGGCGACAAGCGACGACCGCGCCTTTGCCGCCAGCTCGCCGGAGCGGAGCGGACGGAGTGCATCGACAACGTCGGCCACAGTCATGCCCACGTACTGCGGGAAGGCCGCCGGCTCGGCGAGCACCGACTCGGCCTCTGCGGCGAGGCAATCCGAGACTCGCGCCCGGATGGCCGAGTACGACTGCGAGACGTGAGAGGCGACGGTGGCGGCAAAGTCGGCGTTGGACGACAGCGGCTCGACAAGCATCGCAAACTCGACGTCAGAGTAGTGGCACATGGCGGCGGCAGACATTGAGCCAAGCGATAGCATGGCATAGCCAATGTTGAATGGCGGCGGGCCCATGAGCGCGGCAGTCTCGTCAACTAAGCGGGTGAAGAGCTGTACGCGGTCCGACGTGACCTGCTCCATGATGCCAAGCGTGGAGGTAACTAGCTGCGCCGAGCTCAGCGCCATGCCAAGCTCGCCAGCGTCAATGTCGGCGTAGGCATCTGCAGCTGCCGCACGCGAGCGGGCGAGTTCGGCTTTGTGGACCTCCCACGGCATGGGCGCAGCGCAAATGCGCGGCAGCGGCGGCGGCGTGTCCAAAGACGGCGGGTCGAGAACAAGCCGCAGCGCAGCGTTGTAGCCCTCCATCACCTCGAGGGTCGTCCAACGATGACCGGGTACGCTCGAGGCGCGAAGGACGCAGACGGCACCATAAGTGGCGGTCGAGCCGCTTGCAAGGTCCGAGTCATTGTAGCGATCACAGGCCGCGAGGGCGGCCTTCCATGCCAGCGCGTACAGCTGTGCAGCCTGCTCGTAGTGGCGGGCGGCCATGACGAGCGCAGCTCGAGCAAGGAGATCATCCACGAGATCTGCGAGTGGCTGGTAGTCGAGCCCAGCAGAGAGCCTATGCAGACGGCCTTCGTAGCTGGTAATGTCATAAGCGGGCGTGTAGTGGAAGACATACTCGAGCTCGTTGGAGAGGAGCGCAAGCTGCTTGGTGTAGGCAGCCGCGGCATCGCCTTCGGCCTGCTGCTCGACAGCTTGGGCGTAGCGCACAGCCGAGGCGACGTACGAGGGACGGGCGCGGCGCTGGCCGCGGAACGACGACCTCCGGCGAGCACACGACGAGAGCGGCGCCCCAGCCCGGCACGCAGGCGGGGCGACAGTGTACGAGAGGAGCTCGATGTGCGCGAGCGACGCCATCAGCTTCTCGGCGACTCGCGGCGGGACAACCATGCCGGGGCAGTCGTCCAAGGCGCGCTCGACGAGTGCGTAAAGCGTGCGTGCGCCGTCTGGATCGAGCATGGCTCCGGGGACCAGAAGCATGTCACCGACCTCCATAGCAGCAGAGAGAACATGGATGAACATGGCTTGTGGATCCGGAAACGACTCGGCGGCTCTGAGCATGGTCTTGAAGAGCGACTCTGCGTCGCGGACCTGACCGGCAGCAGCGAGCTTTCCCGCGACCTGGCGACCAACCCGAGCAAGGAGAAGCGCAGGATTGGCGACGGGCATGGCTTCCAGAGCCGAGGCAGGAGCATGAGCAAAGTACTCGCTCTGGACATCACAGGTAAACATAGACACCGTGAGCGAGACTGCGATGTCGACAAGGGTCATCAGAATGCCCAGGACGTCAAAGGCAGTGGCAGGAGCGAGTTGAGAAGGCGTGCCACCACCACGGGCATGGTCAACCAGAGCAGGAGAAGACGAAGCAGAAGCAGAAGGAGACGAGAGCCGGGCGAGAAAGGCAGAGACCAAGTCACAGACCTCATACACCAATCGCAATGACGTAGTCACACGTCGCTTGGCCTCGCCAGGGCGGGCGTAGACCTTGGACGACATGTGGGAGACAAGGGTTGCCAGGGAAGGCCGGGCTTGTGATCGTGCCAGTTGCGGTGTCATCGATGGGAGAGGGGGGGGGGTATGTGGATGGTGGTGGTGATCATGTTCGTGGAAATGGTAGCGATTACGCGGAGGAGACGGTGTGTGTGTGTGTATGTGTGTGTATGTGTGTATGTTATGTGTGTGCGAGAGAGAGAGGCGGGACGGGACGATGCGGGGCAGGTGGTGACAGATCGGGCGGAATCATCCGGGATGGGAGAGACTGGTGATCGATGGGGGGAGATCGGGATGTGCGATATGGGATATGGGATGGCGGTTGTGGTGGTGGTGATCATGTCCATCGACTCGGTAGTGTGTGTGCATGTGTGGGTGTGGGTGGGTGTGGGTGTGGGTGGGAGGGCGGCGGTGCGGGACGGCTGTGCTGACAGAGAGCAACACCTCACGCGGGAAGAGGGCACAGGCAGGACAACCAGAGGTGGGAAGGTGGGGACGATGGCGTCTGTGGGGTTTGCACAAGCAGGCGAATGGCGACAGAGTGACGGAGGCGGCGGTGGAAGAGAAACTGGCGCCGGCGCTGGCGCTGACGGTGGCGCTGGCGCTGGCACTGGCGGTGACGGTGGTGGTCGGGGGAAGCGGACGGGAGAGCACAGATCGGGAGTGGCAACGAGGTGGACAGGGCGGAGAAGCAGGAATGGATGGACAATGGGCGCAGCGGTGAGACATCGCAAGCCGTGGAAAAAGATCTTGTATGAACAGCAGGCATATCCGGACAATCATGTGGATGAATCGTTCCTCAATCTCCTACTCCTCAACGCCGAGCCCGTGTCGTACTCGTACGCCGAGGCGGTCGAAGGCACACTGGTACTGACGCAGAGGCTGGTCATTGTGGCCGTCTTTGTCGTCGCTTTTCTGCTCACGCTTGATGAGACCATGAGCGTGAACACGCTCATCATCATCAACGTGGCCACGCTGGTGGGTGGCTACGGGGTGTTTGTGGCGCTCACGCCGTCGTTGGCATCGGGCAGGTGGCGCAGCATGGTCCGCCACAATGCCAAGACGCTAGCGATTGTGTATCTTACCCTTCTGATTGTCTCGCCGGTCCTGAAGACGCTGACTGACTCGTTCTCCAACGACACAATCTGGGCGCTGTCGACGCTCTTTATGCTCCTGCACATCCTCACAGCCCACTACGAGCGGTCGGCCAATGCGCTTCCATCTGTCCAGCAGACGCCGTTTTCGTTCAACGCCGCCATTTTCGCCTCTGTCCTCCTTGTCTCGCGGCTCCCGTCGGCCATCCACGTCTTTGCGCTCATCTCGTTTGCCATCGAGATATTTGCGCTCGCGCCGCTCTTCAACCATCGACTCCACTCGTACTCGCTGCGGGCCTCGATTGCGGTGACCGTGAGCCAGGCGTGCGGAGTGACCGGACTCCTTGCCTCAACATACTCGATGTTTCTCGGCGTAGCCTTTGGCCTCTCGCTCCTCTTCATCACCTTTGTGGCCCCAGCCGGACTCCTCCTCATCCGGCGGTACAAGAACACCATCAACGGCCCGTGGGACGAGGCGCGGCCATCATTGGGCACCTGATGTAAATCCAAAGATGATCTCTATGCCCCTCGTTGACAAGAGGCCGGGTGACCGCCACCCAGTGACCGCCACCCAGTGACCGCCACCCAGTGACCGCCACCCAGTGACCGCCACCGCCACCACCTGTCTCTCTCTCTCTCTCTCTCTCTCCCCCCCCCCCTCCGCCCCCCAGCACCATCAGTATTCCACGAAGCTGAAACTGAGGATGAACAGAGACAAAATGACGACGATGGCGATGTCGATGACGATGATGATGGCAGTCGTTGTGGTGTTGACCTGTGTGGGAGGAGGTGCTCAAGCAGCTGGCTTTACCACTGCTGTCCACCCGCTCACCAGCTATGGCTACTCGGGTGCCAGCTATGGTAGCATTGCCAAGTCGGTCACCGGTTCCGCCACACTCTCTGCCACACCATGGTCATCCACTACCATGGCAGTCATTGTTCTGACTGAGGAGAGCCTTGCTCATGACATTGTCAATGCCCTGGTCACCTCCCCGCCCAGAGCCCTTGTCCTGGTCCTGCCATCCCCGGACGCCGCATGGGCTGCCGTACGTTACGAAGCAGAAGAAGGAGGGGAGGGGGGGGGGGGGGGGGGAGGGGAGGGAGAGAGAGGGAGGGAGGGGGTAAGGGTACCGGTGGATGGAGGGTATTGGTGGGTGGTGGGGAGCGCGGGGAGAGGGGAGAGGGGGTCATGGACCCGGCTTGCTGGTCGCACTCGCGGTGGCTCGGCTTGCTGACTGCAACCTGGTTGCGATGGCATTGTGTAACTCACCAAATCTTGCTTGCTTGGTTTGGGTTCAGGAGGTTGTGGCGGCGATGGAGACAGAGCTGATGTGGGCCAAGATTGAGTGCCCGGTGATGATGGCCTTTGCCGACGAGATCGGTGAGGAAGGCATGAAGGAGCTCGACGAGCTGACGCTGAGCGTCAAGACGTCGGCCAAGGAGATCAAGACTGGCGATGCTGCCAATGTCGAGGCGTGGCTGATCGGCTCGCAGGGCGAGCGCGCAAAGACCATTGTTGTCGCTGCCCACTATGACGCGCTGGCGGCGGCCCCGAGCCTGGCTTCGGGCTCGGACGCCAATGGCGCCGGTCTTGTGGCACTGCTCTCGGTCGCACGCTCGTTTGGTCGGCTTTATGCGACCGAAAAGACGCGTGGGGCGTACAACGTGGTGTTTGTGGCGACCGCTGCCGGCAAGCTCGGCTTTGCCGGTGCCAAGGCCTGGCTCGCCGACGCATCGGCCATGCAGCTCCGCAACGTCGAGCTGGTGGTCTGCGTTGACGCGCTCGGTGCGCCCGGCGTCAACCTCCTCTCCACTGACGTGCCGCAGTCTGGCAAGAAGCGCGGGCCGGCGGGGTCGGCAGCTTCGGACGCGTTCGAGGCCGCGCTCGCCGAGCTCGGGGCCGGCAAGATCGAGCTCGAGCTCGACCCGGAGGCCCGGACCTACGCCTTTGAGCACGAGCGCTTTGCCCGCCGCGGCCTCGCGGCGTACACTGTCTCGTCGCACAGCGCGCCGTACAACATGCTGCGGACCAAGACAGCGGCCGTTGCCGGCGCTTACGACGCGGCCGACCGCGACGCGCTCGTTGCCAACATCCACACTGTCACCACCGCCCTCGTCCGGGTCGTCTTTCCGCATCTCGGCCTCGCCGCCGCCGCCGACCTTGCCCGCCCCGATGCCGGCTTTGTCGACGCATGGGCCTCGTACCTTGAGGCCACGCCGCGGTTTGCGCCGCTCCTCGCCACGCCTACCGGCGCCCCGGTTGTCGCCGCCATCACCAAGGCCCTCAATTCGGCGCTGCCCGCCGCAGACGTGACCGCCTCGGACTTTAAGCTCGTCGTCCCGTACACCTTTACCGCGCCGACCGCTTCCGCCGAGCTCTCGGCCTACAAGCAGACCTCGCCCATCTACGACCTGCTCGCCTTCCTCGCCGCTGGCGCCTACGTCGTCGGCGTCTATGCATACTTTGTCGGCCCGTCGGCAGCCGTCGCCGCCGTCCTCTCGTACGTCACCTCCAAGCCGTCATCTGCTACCAAGGCCAAGACTAAGAAGTCCAAGTCCAAGAAGGAGTAAAATCGCGACCTTGCTGCATCCTCCTCCATATACACACCGCAAGCCCATCGCACGTGTGAATGTCTCATACACCAGCCGGCCGTCTATCGCCTGGCAGTGCGGGCCCCAGGTTTAGTTGGTCCGACAAAAGCGACGCGGCGTGGTGAGACGAGCCGGCGCCATCCCCCCTTCCCAGAGAGCGAGTTGAGGGGAAGGGGGCATAGGGACACGTAACTCTCAGGTTCCAATATGCTTGCGCGTGGGGTGTGTGCTGTTCATAGCGTGCGTGCACTGTCGTCGACGGCTGCACTCTGTGTCCGTCGTGGCAAGCATCCGCGTATGTTCCCTGTCCGTGTGGTGGCCTCGGACGGCTCCACTTTCACCATTGCCTCCACCCTGCCCATGACCACCCTCAAGCTCCATGATGACCGCTTCTCCCATCCAGAGTTCACAGAGGGTAAGGAGGTGTCTGATGCAAAGCGCGGTGGAAGAATAGGCAAGTTCATCTCTCGCTACCAGTCGTTTGACATCGATAACAATGCCGCCGCCGACGACTCTGCTGCCCAGTGAGTGTGGACGGGGAGGGGCAGGGCGGAGCAAAGGCGGGGGAGAACGGAGGCCTGTTGCTCTTCATCTGTTCGTCGATGTGGTCCTCGCCGGGATTCCTGTCCTGTAGCTGCTGGTTGCTGGTGTGCTGGCTGCTGATAAACAACACTCGTAGATCGTGCAGGACGGTGGCGCGAGAGGAGGAAGCGCAGGATGGTTGATGCAGAGGTGCAGAGCGATCAGACTCCGCCGCCCGACCCGGAGCCATCGATGACGGCCACAAGACGGGCCTCGAGCTCGTCGAGGCTGATACGTGCTGCGACGTCGGCTGCGCAGGCGTCCTGGCAGATGGCCAGGAGCTGGTTGGCATCAGCCGGCACGTTGTCCGGAACAGGCAGGCGCGCGAGCGCGGCGGTGTAGGTGCCGTCGAAAGCGAGGGCGATGAAGGCGACCGAGTAGAGCGAGGCACCGAGGGCAAAAACGTCGACAGCCGGGCCGAGCACAGATCCGGTCTCGACGTCGAACAGCTCGGGCGCCCGAAAGTGGGCGGTCGAGTGGGCGGCGGCGCGGTCCTGCTCCTCGAGGGCAACGGCGCGATCAGGGATGTCGACGGCTACCGGGCGGACCGAGCCAAAGTCAATAAGGACCGGTCTCCAGCCGAGGTGCGCGCTCGCGTCGGCATCAAGCATGATGTTGGCCGGCTTGATGTCGCGATGGACGGCGCCAGCAGCGTGGAGGGCGGCGACGCCACGGACGACCGGCAGAAAGAGGGCAGCCAGGTCTGCAGCAGCCAGCTGCCTCTGTAGACTCTGCGGCAACTGCTCGGCGTTTCCATCGGCATGCTTCTGGACATAGTCGGCGAGCGATGCGGCGTAGCGCGGGAAAACCATGAGATACTGGTTGAGTGCCCGAGGATGGCGGCCGGCATCGATGAGCGGAGCTAGACTCTCATGATCGACCAGTCGATGGGCAGCGACTTCACCCTCAACGTCCGCCTCTGTCGTCCCTCCCTCCACCAGCGAGATGACCTTGATGGCCACTTGCTCCTCTCCTGTCGCATCGGTCCCCGCATGGACTGCCGAGTAGCCGCCGCGGGCCAGCACCTTGCCCACCCGCCATTCGCGACCCGAGGCCAGGACCACACGCTCACGCGGGCGACTGCGCCGGAAGAGGCTCAGGATGGCACCCATATATCTGCTGCGCACGAGAGGGGTGTGGTGGGGGATGAGGTGGTCAAGCTGCTCGCTCTCTCGTCCTGGTCGCCATGCCATGCCGGCCAGCCACTCCGCACGCCTCCCCTCCCGCACCCCGCCACTCCCCCATCGCCACCACTCCCCCATCGCCACCACTCCCACACACCCATCATTCGTGGCATCAGGCAGACACCATTCGTTCGCCGCCAACAGCCGGCAGCCGGCAGCCGGTGACAGATGGCCGGCAGCCGGCAGCCGGTGACAGATGGCCGGCAGCCGGCAGCCGGTGGCCGGTGACAGATGGCCGGCAGCCGGCAGCCGGTGACAGATGGCCGGCAGCTGGCAGCCGGTGACAGATGGCCGGCAGCCGGCAGCCGGTGGCCGGTGACAGATGGCCGGCAGCTGGCAGCCGGTGACAGATGGCCGGCAGCCGGCAGCCGGTGGCCGGTGGCCGGTGGCCGGTGGCCGGTGGCAGTCAGCCGTTGGCCGAGTCGCCGCCACCCGCACCACCACCACCACCACCACCACCACCATCCACACCCACCCACACACACACCCCACTCTCAAGCAGACAAGCAACGAGTATGGGGTACACGAGTGCAGAAGAGGTAGTGCGTGGCATTGCTGAGCATGCACATGCGACAGGACTCCGTGTGAGGCAGAGAGTCTTTGCCGACTTTGACCGTCATCACAACGGACGCATCTCGGCCAATCAGTTTGCTCGTGGCCTGGCCATGCTCAACTGCCCGCTGGTCGACAACGAGCCTGCGGTGGTTAATCTCCTCCTCAAGGCCTATGCATACCCTGATGATGATGATGCCATCGATTATCGTCGCTTTACAAACGCTGTCGATGACTACTACGCCACTGCTGCTCTCGAGTCCACCGGCTGCCTCCCCGACAACGTGCCGGCTGACCCGTTTGATCCCGACGCTGCCGCGAGCAGGGCGGGTGCCAAGTCGCCGCTGGCTTCGTCTAACGACCCCATGCTTGATGCCCTGGTCGATCGCGCCGCCAAGTACGCCGCCTTTCGCGGCGATCAGGTCCGTCTCTGGTTCACAGACTACGACCGCCACCGGACCGGCGAGCTGTCGGCCTCGCAGTTCCGCCGCGGCTTCCCGTTCACAGTCCCGGACGTCGAGTATCAGGCTGCAGTTCGGGCGTACGGTCGCGTGGTCCGCTCGCGGGACATTCGGGTGGCGTACCCGGCCTTTGCCGCCGACGTCCACGCCGCCATGGGCGAGATGGACGAGTTTGCCGGCCTCCGCCACCATGCCTACCCCGGGCTGGCTGGCTCGGTTGGCGTCCGCGGCGCACCCGGTCCGATGCCTTCTAGCCACCCAACGCCTGACGTCAGCGACGCGCTCGCCTTTCTCCGCAAGGAGGTGTACACCAAGCGGATCCGCATCGCCGAGCCATTCCACGACTTTGACCCGCTCCGGTCTGGCCTCATCTCGGCGGCGCAGTTCAAGTCTGCACTGGCGTGGACAGCCATTCCGCTCTCAACTGGCGCGGTGGAGGCGCTGACGGCACGGTACACATCTGCGGCGCGTGCTGCGCGCGACCCTACCCGTGCCGTCGCCTACCTCCCGTTCCTCGCCGAGATCGAGTTGGTCTTTACCCAGGAGGACCTCGAGTCGTCGCCAACCAAGGTCGTGCCGCCGCCGCCGACTTACTCGGCGCTGACCGAGAACGGCGAGGCGCGAGCACTCGGCTCGCCGGTCCACACCTTGCCGCCGGTCATGCAGCGGCTCGCCGCCGTGGTGGCCCAACGGCGGATGAACTTGCTGCCGTTCTTTGAGGACTTTGACGTCCACTGCTCGCGGTCGGTGACACAGAACCAGTTCCAGCGGCTGCTGGCCACCATGGGTCTCCACGTCTCGGGCTCCGAGCTGATGCAACTCATCCACCGCTACGCCGACCGTACCGACCCGGTCCATGACATCAAGTACATGCCGTTCCTGGCGGATGTCGATCCGGCGGGTGTGTTCGAGACGTCGGAGCTCGCTGAAGACCGCTCAGCCTCGATGCAGGCGACGACGTCTGCCGATGCCGCCCGCGACGCCAACGTCACCGCCGCCCGCGACGCCTTTACTGCCGCCTACGGCGTCGACGACTCGGTCGACGGCACCCTTGCCATTGCCGCCGAGGAGGTCCGCCGCCGCCGCCTGCGCCCGCGCGACTTTTTCGTCGACCACGATCCGCTCCGCTCGGGCCTCATCACCGCTCCGCAGTTCCAGCGCTCGCTCACGGCGCTGCTCGGCGACGTCGTTGTCTCGACTGCCGCACTTGACTCCATCACCGCCGCCTTTACCACCGCCACTGCCGTCGCGCCGCAGGTTGTCGCCTACCCGGCGTTCCTCACCGCGCTCGCCGCTGCCACCGGGGCAGGGGCTGTCGCCGCCGATGCCGACGCGCAAGTTGCCGCGGCACGCGCCAAGCTCGATGCCTTTCTCGCTGCTGTCCGCAAGCGGGTCGCCCAGCGGCGCATCCTGGTCCGCCCGCTCTTCCGCGACTTTGACCGCCACTCGCGCGGGTTCATCGAGCCCAAGTGCGTCATCCAGGCCCTGGCCTCGATGGGCCTGCAATGCTCGCGGGGCCAGCTGAGCGAGCTCATGGCCGGCTTCCCGTGCAAGGCCACCGGTCACGGCTTTGACTACCTCGCCTTTGTCGACGCGGTCGATCCGCACGCCGCTGCGCCTGGTGAAGCCGTCTTTGCCGCCGCTGCCGAGTACGGCGCGGTGCGCCGGCCGGCACCCTCTCGCGTGCCCACGCCGTCGGCCGCCGCCGCAGGCCTCGACCTGCTCATGTCCAAGATCTGCAAGTGGGTCAACACGCGCCGGATCCGGCTCTCCGAGTTTGTGCGCGACCCGCGGTTCCCCACCCGCCACATGTCGGCCTCGCGCTTCAAGTCGGCGCTCTCTATGGCTGGCATCTGCCTCACCGAGCCCGAGCTCGAGCTGCTGTGCTCAGCTTACGCCGGCTCTGATGCCGAGCGGGTCAACCATGCGTTGTTCCTCGACGACGTTGACGCCACCTCGGTCGTCAAGCACCTCGAGGTCATGCCCGAAGTCGATCCGACCCAGACCATGCCCATCCTCCCCTCGGGCCCACTCGGCAAGGTCAGCGCCGCCGAACAGACCATCCTCGACCGGGTCGTCGCCCGCCTCGCCAACGCCGTCACATCGCAGCGGATGAACATCAAGCCGCAGTTTGCAGACTGCGATGGCGTCCGCTCCGGTAAGGTCACTCCGCACCAGTTCTCCGCCGTCCTCGAGACCTTCTTCAAGCTCGGCCTCGACGAGCTCGCTGTTCTTGTCAAGGCCTACACCATCGACGACGGGCGAGTCAACTACACCGCCTTCCTCAACGACATCCGCCATTGAACGCCAGCCAAAGTTAGCGTCCACACTCCGTCGAATCAGGACGATTACCAGCCACAAGGCCGAGGTCAGCGCGCCGTGCCCGTCACCTGTGTACTCCGCCACACGCGCCGCCACCCCTCCCGCCGCACCCCTCCACAAACACCCCACACACGCACGCAAGGTCGCATGTCGGCCTCCTCATCCCCGCACTCTGCGCTCGAGTCATGCAGCGTGTTCGACGAGCTCCCCACCGAGCTCGGCGTGCTCATCTTCTCGTACCTCTCGGCGAGCGAGCTGGCATCGATGGCAGCCGTGTCGCACAGATTCCGCAGTTGGGCCAAGGACGATCTGCTGTGGCGGAAGCTCTGCGCTGCTGATTGGGGTTGTCAGCCACATGCCCACCTCGATCAAGTCCTACCACCTGAATCAGAGCCTGTCGGCTGCTGGAAGGAGGTCTACCATGGGTGGGTGATGTTCTTTGATGGCATCCCGATGGAGTATGCTCAGGAGATGGGACGGGTGCTGCGGAGGCTTGTGGCGGCGGCAGATGCGGCGGTCCCGGGCATTGCCGACACGATCTTGCCGCCGCTCTCGCGGGATGCGAGTCGTGCCGAATGGGATGTGCTGGGAGTCTCACCGCCGATGAGCATCCGGGCCTTGTACTCGTGGCTCGGCGGACAGAACCTTGGCCGCGATGTGAAGCGGGCTCTTGAGATGTGTTTGTTGGCGGCCTCCGTGTCTACAACTCGGTGTATGGAATGGTCATGCTGGCACAGGACCAGTTGTATCCGGTGGACATCGGCTCTGGAGTCGGGGTTGGCTTTGCGGCGTCGACCGTCGGTGGCGACATGCGGCTGTATGCCGTGGATCCGGAGGGAATGCTGGTGCGGGTGTGCAGCTCGGGCTTGATGCCGATGGTGTCGCAAGTGGGCGACGACCGCGAGGATCCGCTGCTCTGCTGGCTCCGCACCTACGCCGAGCGGCTCGAGTCTGGCGTGTTTGGAGCCGATGAGCTGTTCTCGGCCGGCGAGCTCGGGCCTGGCGCGAGCCCGCTCGTCGCAATCTCGCACTTTCCCCAGTCGGGTGCCGGGTACTACGAGGCCACCACGCGCGGGATCACAGTAGGTGCCGCGCCGGCTCTGGTCGGGGATAGCGAGTGGGCGTACCGCATCACGGTGTTTGAGGCCGACGGCGGCGCCGAGCTGCCCAAGGCTCAGCTGACCACCCGCCGATGGGTCATCGACGGCGAGGATGGCGAGCACGACGAGGTCGAGGGGCCCGGCGTCATTGGCCTGTATCCTGTTGTGGAGGCGTCAGTCGGCCCGAGCCGGGCAAAGCCGTTTCGATACGTTTCGCGGACTCTCCTGACCGAGTCGGAGCGCGGGACGATGGGCGGCGCGTTTAAGTTTGTGCCCGGCACCATCGATGAGCCTGCCGGCGAGCCGTTCTGGGTCCACGTGCCGACCTTTGAGTTGCGGGTCGACGACGTGCTGTTCTGAGCCATTGTGTACATACACAAGCAGACATGAAGACACATCAGACATGAAGACTCGGCAGGCAAGAAGACATAGCTGACGTGCCGATCATCCTCCATCCCCATCCCCATCCCCATCCCCATCCCCATCCCCATCCCCATCCCTACCCCCGTCCCCTTATCATCGCCAACGAACTCGGCTCCCCGTTGCCCAACGACGACCACCACGTCTCCCCTCCCCCCCCCCCTCCACCCACCCCCACCCTCCACCCACCCACCCATGCCCACCCCCACCAGTCTTGCGCCCGTAGAGGGAGTCTCCTCCCAACGAATGGCGCTCTATGTCCCGGGGGCATCACGGGCACGACACCTGCGACGACTGGACAACCGTGCCTCACGCCGAGCTGCTGCCCGCGCTGCCCTGCAAGCCCATCTCAACACTCTTCCACTTCCGCTGCGACAGGGTGCGCTGGCATCGACGCCGCGTCCTCCTCCGCCCATGCTGACGGTGGATGACATCGATCTGCCGCCGCATGCTCGTCCTCTGCCTCAATCGGCTCATGCTGAGCCGTTGTATGCGCAGGCTGCTGCTCGGGCTGCTCAAGCCGCTGCTTTGGCAAAGAACCTGCTCCGTCAGCATGGTCAGGCAGAGGACGATGATGACGAGGGCAGCTCGGACGATGATCAAGCTGATGAGTTGTTGTATGATGCTGCACATCCGGCACAGGCCGTGCATGCTGTCGAGGCGCGGCGGTATAAGCGGGCCGTCCGGCGGGCGCGAAAGACCTGGCGGGAACGAGCTGCTGCTGATGGTGACATGGCCCGGGACAGACGCCGAGGCGCCACATCGCCGCCGCTGCGTGGCCTCCCGCTCGACGTCCGCCGCGCGCTTGACATCGAAACCACGGCTCGCCGACTGCGCAAGGCGCGGAAGATGAAGGCTGGGTCCGGCAAGCCGTCACCGGCCTTTGCCTCGACTGTGCCGCTGTTGGGAGAGCAAATGGCAAACGCTGCGTCCGAGGGCGGACTCATCTATGCCGTCAACATCGATGCGGTCGCTCCATCGGCGCCGTGTGTCCCCGAGTGGCGGCCCGACGATGCGGTGAAAACGACGGTCTCGCGGGCGCCCCCCCGCTCTCACCAGCGCAACTCGACGCTGCTCACGCTGCCATCATGGCCAAGATTGACGCTCGTATTGAAGCCTCGGACATGCATGCTCGTCGGCAAGCTGCCTCGCGACTCGAGTCGCCGGTCTTTCGGCCGCCGTCGGTGGTGGCGCGCGCCGCATCAGCACCGCCGAACCCGGCGCGTCCAGACTCGGGCTCGGACTCGGGCTCTGGCTCGGACTCAGTTGTGGGCACGGAGACGCCCGCAGACTCATCAGGCTCATCCAGTCAGTCCGGCCCGGGCCCGCTGCCATCGTTCGCGCGTGCTGCCGACGCCTCGCGCCGCATCCCGGGCGCAGTCGACATGTCGCGGAGCGTCGGGCGCGATCGTGACTTTAACTCGCTCTTCTATGCCCATCGCAAGGAGCCATATGTCGAGCGCATGTACGCGCCCAACTATGCGGCGGTCAAGGCGTCACCGGCGCCGGCGCGCGACTTTGGCCGACAGGTTGCGCGGGGCGAGCTGCAGCTCGTCGGCTCGTCGGCGCCCGACGTCCGCTACCGACCCAAGGACCCATCGCAGATGCGATTTATGGCGCCGGCGCCCGGCGTGACCTTTGCCAACCAGACTGGTCGCGAGCGCGTGCCGCTCGAGAAGAAGGCACGGTCGCTGTCACGGGCGTCGGCCAACGCCGCGCGCTCTCGCAGAGTCTCCAAATGGAAACGCCAGCTCCGGGCGCGCAGGCTCGGCGTGCCTGTGGAGACACCGGCCAGCCCGCGCGGCCGCCAACGCATGTCGACCGGCCGCGACACACTCCCGATCCCGGGCTTTGTCGACCTCTCCAAAAAGGGCCGCGCTCGGAGCGAGCCGCCGCCGGTCCTCGACCTCTCGTATGAGCCACGGTACGATGCTGTCCGCCGCCGGACACCGGGCGCGCCCATCTTTGAGCTCTCGCCGCCGCGGCGCGCCACCCCGCCGGGTGCCCGCGCCCGTGGGCCCGACAAGGCCTACGATGTAGCCCGCGGTCTCGACGCCATTCTCCCGCGCTCGCCGCAGCCGATCATCCGCGCGCCGACCCGCGAGCCCAGGGCTCCGGGTACCTTTTTTGTCACCGAGCTCGACCCGTAGATCCCTCGCCTCATGCCTTGGACCGCGGTGCGGTCGGAACAAAGACTGCGATCCGCGAGCCAATGTCAAACAGTCGCTGTCGCAGCTTGCTCTGCACCTCCTTAGCGTAGCGGTCGACCGTTGTTCGCGAGGGGAAGACTCGGACGTGGACCGGCGGGATCGAGTCCGGCTGGACCCGAAAGGCGTCAACTGTGGCAGGGTACATGAGCGCAAAGTTCCACAGCGCGGTGAGGACGTCGACCATATCGCCGGCCCGGAGCCCGTCAAGCATCATGGGAAGGGCCGAGAGCGGACGCGGGAACCACTGCGCGGCTGCCAGGATGCGCAGGAGCTGGGCGGTCTCATCGCGCAGAGCGGCTTCGGCAGCTGCGCTTGCGCTCGGACTCCGGACCTTGGCCTGCTTCGCGGCAAGGTGCCACGAGCCGACGTGCCACGCGAGGAGCGCCCGGAATACATCGAGGTAGCGGCAGAACTGGACCGGCGCCGCAGGCACAAGCGTTTCCAGCACCTCCCACACCAGCGGATTCTGGCTAAACATCCTCACAGTGGCAACGACGGCCTCGGATGCCGGACGCGCGGGCAGGACCTCGCGGTACTCGTCGCGCGAGGGGAGCGCCACCGCAGGCTTGACGTATGCGTACAGCGTCCGCGCCACCGCCCGCACTCGCTTGGGATCGACTGCTCCCCGCGACGAGTGCGCCAGGACCGGGAGCGTCAGCATGTCGAGCACGTACTGCCGGTTGCGGGCAAGCACTTCCTCCGAGGCGGGGGCCGGCGCGTTGCCGCCGGCGACAGCCTTGCGCCGCTTGCGCGCCCGCGAGCTCAGCATCTGTCCGCCGGTCATACCCTCGACCCGGCGCTTGCGGTTCTGTTCCAGCAGCGAGCTCGGGCGCGAGACAAAGGCCTCAAATGAGGCCGACGTGCGCTCGACAAAGGTGGTCGAGCGGGTGCTCACCACCGCTGCCAGCTGCTGTGTCAGCGGCGCCGCCAGCTCCATGCCGAGCGTCGAGACGTCGAGCTGGGCTGGAACCTCGCCTGAGGCGTTCGCCCGTGCCAGCAGCGAGAGCTGGGTGTCCGCGAGTGAGGCGTACGTCGGCGTGGCGCGGAGCAGGTTGTTGGCGAGATGCGAGAAGGCCGTGTCGACAAGGGTGATGACCAGGTGGTGGAACGAGGCCTCGGAGAAGCAGCCGAGGTGGTGCATGACCGACCGTCCTGCAGCGAGGATGTCGCGCTGATGCTGGGCAGCGTCGGC